TACCTAAAATCCTCTATTGTGGAGTACGCCAAGCGTACTTTCTACAGGATATATGTATCAAATGGACCCAAGTAAGCGACCATATTTCACTTTTCACATGCCCTATATCAACCACCACTGCACCCCAGTGTATCACTAAACGTTTACGCCCGTTTTTTTTAATTTTACACAGATTTTATTTATTAAATTATTCATCTCAGCAGACGTTTGGTAGATGACTCAGATATATTTTGATTTCATCATATTCACCCCACCCATCTTACGGGACGTGTCAAGTACTTGCTTTTATCCCGTAATCAATCATTGTTCATTGTTCAACTGACTTATAGACCATCCGAATTGTAACTTGGTCTATAATTGGTCTCTAAGCCTATTTTTCATGGTACACAGAATGAAAGAAAAGATTCCATTGGTCGGTTTATAGAGGACATGTTTCGTTCAGAGTGGAAAGTTGTATAATCTGCGCTATGTTTCTTGCTGGCTTGCCGAACAACCTCCTCGTGATGCCAGCTGGGTGGTTCGGGATATTCCCATTCCACCAAATGGTTCGGCGGCAGTGTTCCAGGACGTGGTGGGTTTTCGCCTGGCAAGCGTTCTCCTTATAAAAAGCCACATATGTCCGTTTAACAACACTGTGACGTGGCAGACGTGACTCGCCACTAAATAAAGTCACCACCCCTTGCTTCATCCTCGCGAAGCACTGTATTCCAGCAACTTTGTGCTGTAATTCTGGGGAGCATTGGGCCCCTGTTTGACAAAGGAACAAACGGAAGTCGTATGAACTGAGCAATCAGTCACCGGCTCCCAACGTGCACGATTCCCTGAATTTGCCCCGTCGCTTCGTGGGCAGGCCATTCAGCCAAAGGGTCGGGGTGGTGTCCCCAAAATTAACACCATATTTCGGCCTAGGCCACCGAGTATTATATCGCCCTCTGACGAAACGATGGACTTTGATGTGATCTGTTGTGTTTTCATTTACTATTTCTGTACCTTCTTTTGAGTTCCCTGGTTTCTGATGGCTCTATGTCTATTCATAAACTGTTGCATTATATAAAGATATATGTTGATTTTCTTGGAGATGGCGACAATAAATCATTCAGATCGGTTGCAAATGCAGAACCACCAATGTATACTGGTATCGTTAATACGGAACTGCAATGTTGTGGGCATGTGCAGAAGAGAATGGGCCAACACCTCACTAATAGGGTAAATGAGTTCCAGGAGGAATTCTTTACACACAATGGCAAGGGTGTTCAAGGTATTGGTGGGAGAGACTGCCTGACAAAAAAGACAATTCTAAAGATTCAAGCACATTACGGTACTGCAATACGTAGAAACACCAACAATGTTCTTCAGATGCGAAAAGCAGCCTGGGCCAAACGGGAGCACAGGAACCGTTACCATATCAACTGTGGAGATTGGTGCCCCTCCAAGAATCGGCCTGCTTCAGATCCTAATAGAAATGCTTTCCCACCCTATGTCTGTGTGGCCATAAGACCTGTCTTTGAAACTCTCACCAGTGAGACATTACTGTCATGGTGTACTCATGGAGGGACACAAAATATAAATGAGTTTTCATAATTCCATTTGTCAAAGATGTCCAAAGACTGGTTTCGTTGGAAAGCCTAGACTAACTCTCGCAGTTTATGATGCTACAGTAGTTTTCAATGATGGAGAGGGGTGTAGGCTACCTATATTTGAGATGCTGGGTATGCCTGCTGGATTCTATACCAGACTGGTTTCAATGAGCTGGACAGAACAAGAATAAACTCAGCAGCTTTAGGACTATTATCAAGTGAACGGCAAGCACGGAGAATAGCGACTGTCATGGATGAGAAAGACAGAGAGGATTTTTACCTTGCTGGTGCCCATGAGTAGTCCAGGTTAGTTCTACTATAATTCATACCTAGAGACGTCTCAAAAATGATAGATGCGTGAGACCGACTCGCATCTGAAATATGTTAAAACTAAAGGCCATTTTTTCAAAATAACCTTTTCATACCCATGCGTTACCTTTGTCAGAATAAGTTCAAAACTATTAGGCCAACTTAAATAAAATTTGAAGAATATGTTCTTCATTAGTATCTGCTTGAAACATGCTAAATTCAAGGATCCCACACTTGTGGTCTACGTTTAACGAGTTCAAATTTTATGCAACTTCTTTTTTATCTCAGTGTAAGGAAGGCTAACATACACACCGACTTGAGTCTAGTGTAGATTACAGCCTAATCATCTCTGAGCAGCCATGAAAAATTTTAGCTGCATATATAGAACAGCTTTGTATCAGAAGTAACAAGGCTACTGCAATAAAGTTACGCATCACCAAAATAGGCATCTTGCTCAAATGGACGGAGCCCATCGCAAGACCATCGCGATAAGCCTAATTAGACCGGCCTTGTGTGTTCAAAAGCAATTAGTTGTCAACGTGCGGTTGCCTTGGTCCTAATCCAAACAACAATGACCACAACCATAAATTTGATTGCCTTGACTGTGCCCTGTAAGACATAAAAGCATTTTTCTGTGACTGTTTTAGTACTGAGGAGATAATACGAAATCCTAGTATCCTCCGATATTCATATTCTCATTTCGTTGTTTAAATATAACTTTATTTATCTATTAGATATTCTTTGTATGATATACAACAAAGATTTATGCAAAATTTCATAAAGACCTGCTCATATATAGATATCTTTAATCATTAGCAAATTGCTTGTAACATTTATACTTTTCCACCTTGTTCCCTCCCCTTAACAGCAAGACCGAAGTTACTAGAATATTTTAGTGGACGCTGTCGAAGGCTACGCACTGGTCTTGTTCTGGTGTACCAAAATGTGTGTGACTCTAAGTACATATACCGTCAGTTGCTGAAACCTCAGTGGTAACTGCTTGAAACTGAGTGGATAGTGCAACCGTCTAGATGGCCGACAAAATCATTTTCTCTTCGGATTGGCCACCCTTGAAATTCTATGAAACTCAGTTTTTTCTTCCACCACCTTGGATATTTGCAAAAAATGTGTTGGAGTTGCCGTTTTCTCTCTGCAATTTGGTGCCTTAGCTGTGCTACTTTGGAAAATACTACTCATGCCCTCATACCGGTGATAGATGACACATGGATCTAAGGATATGGTGCATCAATGACCGTTCTTGTTTTCATTTTTTTCACGGAATATGTCGGCCATAACTGCCCCATGTTATCTTGTATGCTTGTATTCACTTTTTATTTCATACTAGCGCTATTCAACATCGCATCTGCTCGACAGGGGCTTAAAAAGAGAGAACTCCCATTTTTGTTGCTATGGTGGCTTTCACCCAGCCATCCTACGGGACTTACCCAGCACCTGCAATTTCTCCGTGGTGGATCGCTCTTCATTGTGCACAGGTAGTACCACGTCAAGCTGTCTTCACTTCCATTCTGTGTATATTTCATATACTTGCATCCTGTTGGCTGCCAGTTCGAAACGTTGTATTACAAACTCAGTATCGCCATGTTTAGACTTTTCCAGTGGAAAATTTCATGGTCGGATGTCAAACTCATGATGGATATTTTCTGCTTATGGCAGCCACAGATAATCTGCAGAGCATAGGATATGCTGAAGTTGTCGCTGGCAATTTGTTATGATCCAAGCAACGTCGGATTTCAAAGACGTCCACGCTTCCATTGAAGACATCTGAAAACCTGTTCAGCCTTGGTGATGCGGCACTATCTATATATTTTGCAACAGTCTATGAATAGACATTGAGCCATCGGAAATTACGGAACTCAAAAGAAGGTACAGAAATAGTAAACGAAAACACAGCACATCACATCAAAGTCCATGGTTTCGTCATGGGGTGAGATACTACCCGGTTGCCCAAGCCGAAGTAGGGTGTTGACTTAGGGGACATCATCTAGAGCCTTTGGCTGAATAGCCGGCCTGCAAGGCAGCTGGGCGAATTCAGGGTATCGCGGACATTGGGAGCCGGTGACTGATTGCTCAGTTCATACGTCGTTCGTTTGTTCCTTTGTCAAACAGAAGCCCAATGCTTCCCAAGATGCGGCACTACACTAACCTGTCTGCTAGATTTGGCTTAATCACTAGTGAGACTGCGCTTTGAAGTTCGGATTTACTTACCTATAAACTAGCCCGTCTCGCGTCACGCTTTCATTGCTCAACCGCTTGTGTCTACAATACTGATGCACCCACCACTGAACCGTACTGACAAGGTAGTGTAAACGGATGAACGTATGGAGTGTTTCGGTGTTTCTCTGTCTCTTCGCTTCACTCCACAGGACGTTTCCTTCTTGTTTGGGTTCATCGGATATAGCGTGCTTTGGGAGTGGAACTCCCCACACACTGGTCGGCATCCATCACTGTGATCACTAGGCCTTTAGGTTTTGGTACATCCAAACGTCTGACATTTCTAACTTGCCTATTTTATTGATTAGCCTGCATTCTGTGTGTTTATCCTACCGAAGGCATCGGCCATACACTGGTACGCTGTACCGACGCTTCGCTGTTACGTAACAACTACCGGTCGCGCGTGGACTAAGCATACTGTGGAGTCGTCCGGTCCCATGCGCAGGCTCGAACCCGCGACCTCCGGATCACAATGCAAAATTTTGATCCCCTCGGCCACGAGACAGTTGGCCCGCTGAGATCGTTTCGCAACTGCTCGCATTCCAGGAACACGAAAATACTAGTCAGCGTCCACTTGGGCCAACCACCTGATGATAATGTTACGAGATTCCCGTTAGTTGTTTCAGTGGTTGTTATCATCTTGATTTACCTCGCATCTTGACCATGAACAATACTAAGAGTGAGTGGAAAGATTGCTGCTGCTTTGCTATTTTTCAATCTTATCACGTAAAAGTTCACTCCATTATGTACACCTGATGTGTGATATTTCTCATAATGAATTACACCCGCTTTTTGCGAGACAACAGACGCGTTGATAATCTGCCGGCTTAAAACATTAACAACTGGTTAAGAAATTTACCATCTGCAAAATCTGACACTCACTCTTTTTAGAAAGAGAGCAAATACGATTAGTGTACGTCGTGAAGTTACGTGGATGAGAGCACGGCCTTGAATACCTGCTCGGGAAGTCCACCGATATCAAGTATTCGGGCGAACCTACCCTTGCGCTGCAGGGGTTTGGGCAAATTTTGTGCACATCTTCAACATTTTGCCACAATCCTTGCTGGAATTCCTCCTCTCCGGTGAAGGAATTCATTTTCAGACAGGCCATCTGCATAAACTGCATTCTGGCAGAATTGACCGACAGTATAAAGGGTTCCAACAAGCTTTTCCCGTCTGCATCACCATCCCTATACATCTCCACGCGCTTCTTTTGAACTGCGTAGTATTCGAGAAGAAAATCGAGTAACGAATCTTCATTCCAGCAAGATGCGTCAGTGCATAGTTTGTCTAAATCTTGCCCGGAAGGCTGATATAATTGTGTGCGATTCAGACGGTCCATTTGATTGAGAGGTGGCTCGATTACTGGTAACTCTTTGCTTCCGATAAATCCGCGCCGCATCCCAACACGTGCGCTGAATTGTTGATCCAGTGGTAGACGTTGCGGTGACGGCAACGGAAGGTAAGCTGATGCATCATGTACGACGTTCTCCTCCTGACTGCTCACAAAGTTCAATTGATGTAATATGAAGCATAGGGTAATCGTTAGTTTATTTATCAGATGCGATAGGCACAAATGCGTCATCTGGAATGGAAGAGAGGGAAATAAACTTATCATCACAATTCACACAGATAGTGATCCAACTGTTTGCATTCCCTGACAATTAGATGAATGTTCTCAGTTAGCGATAGTGGAATGTATTGTGAGTACGCCAGTACACCGAAACGAACGAAACTACTTTCGATAAAGGATTAGTAGCACTACTGAGTGATCCTAAAATTAGCCCTACAGTATCATTTGCGAGGAATCTAAGCTCCATAGGTGGATCCTGATTACACTCTTTTATCGCCGCTGTCAACCACCTACTACAAGTCAAAGTAAAAGGCTTAACCCAACATAGACCACTGCCTATCAATAAAGCGGACAAATCGCCTGTTTGTGTGTGTTCTTCCCGTGACATACCCACTTAGGATAACCTAGAACAACTGTGCGAATATGAAAAAGGAGGTGAGGATTGCTCATCCTGAACATCACGTAAACGGGTAGGTGCAGCGTTAATTTGCGGCAACGGTCATCACTGAACATGATTGCACTTAGCGGTAAATGTGATGAACCGAAATGTGCACCAGTGGTCAGGGGACATATGACTTGTTCAAATTGTGAACCGACCATTGGTTAGTTTGCGGAGCTGTACGCCACCGAGAACGTCACTAGGTGTTGCGGCTCTAGGAATGCCTTCGATGTAAGGATAACTGGATACAAGTCGCGGCTGTTTTCTGGCGAGATGAAGCAGCAGACGCGGACACACAGTGATAGTGGCGGTTTCTGGGTTGGTCACCTGGTTGTTCATTAAATACCACAAGGGCTCGTGAGACGTTGTCTTAAAGCTATTGTGACTGGCTATACGGTCACTGACCACTCACTTCTACACACAGCATTGGGTACTTAATATAGGGCGGATGTATCACTTCGATGGTTACCGGCTTCTATGAAGGTGTATGAGCCCCCGACTGTCAATGGCGCTGGCGGCGAGTTCAGTGGTCCGCAGAATTCTGGATTCATTGCTGCTTCACTCAGGCTTTCTGGGCGCTCTTAGTAGTTTGCTGCTAGTCGAAAGCGGTGTTATCCTCACCTAGCTAATTGACTCCCCACGGTTTGTTGTAAATGTCAATCGCTCCGCCATCTTATGCATTAGGTCATTATGACCTAACGCTTCTGGTGGGGTCCACTTAAGTCTATCCTCCTCTTCGGTCTAGGCAGTTTTGAACAAATTTAAAATGGAACAATGAAACAATGGTTCATTACGGGTAAAAAAGCGTTGCTTAACAAGTCCCGTAAGATGGAAATTATTGTGAAAATCATTTGCATGATAAAGTGAAAAACGTTGTGGTGGACTCACCATAGAATTATGCGGAATAGCGGAAATGTTCGCGTATTAAACATATAAATACATAAATCCACTGGTTAGGCGTTTGGCAAGACACCGTTTGATTGCGTTTCGTAGCCCCTGGCTAACAAGTCATAAAATGAAATGTAAGTGAGACAATTGCATCGTCAACACGTTTTTTAAATATCGCCAGATTGGGAGCAGAGACGACATAATTAGGGAGGGCGTTCCAAGGCTGGCACACACGGAGAGAAAAGAAATTTCTACAGCATTCAAGCCGGCTATAAAGAATTGTCAGTTTCAGATGGTGGCCTCTTAGTTTAGTGTTGTGGTTCAATTCCAGCAGCGGACGACAAATGTGGTTTGGGTTCTTCAGAATCTGGTAAAACATTATGAGATCCACCCGCAAAAGCCGATATCGACTGCTGTAGATTCTTAGATATTTCAGTCTAAGTTGATAGGGCAGATGAAAGAGGCCCCTGACGTTTTTGGTTGCCCTTCGTTGAGGAGTCTCGAGAGCAACGAGATCCTGTTTCTGCCACGGCTGCCACACCTGAATAGCATATTCCACGTGAGGTCGCACGTAGGCGTCAAGCATTTTGGGGAAATATCACATGCTCTCTCTTCTGGCTCTGGAATTGCTCTCCTCGGCCGAGGTTCTGGCGGTCGAACCTTCAAAACCACGTTCTATCGCAAACCGTCTAAGTACACTATTCCACTTATTTTCAGTCCCCTCATCTTTATCTTATTCTCCGTTACTGAGTCCGCAACACTGCCGCCTTGGGCGAGCGTTCTCGCCATACGGATCAGGAGTTTCATTCCGTGGACGCGCGTGATCTTGTTGGCCAGCAATTCTCCACAGTCGCGGTAGTACCTTTGACTGCACAGTCCAGCGGAAAGATGGATGGAATAGCACCCACGGCGGCGGGCGAAAGAACATCGCGATCTGGATTCCTGTGTACTGCAAGGTAGCACGGCACTCCAGATCGCGATGTTCTTTCGCCCGCCGCCGTGGGTGCTATTGCATCCATCTTTCCGCTGGACTGTGGAGGCAAAGCTCTTACTGCAACTGTGGTGAATTGCTGGCCAATCGTGGCCATGCGCTTGCTATCTCTGGTCGGATCTCGGTTGGTAACCATTTGTCCAATAGGACATGTGTCATTCCTTTGGACCGCAACCCTTGTCGTTTTGGGATGAATAAACTTGCGCTAACGATTGAGTGGTAATGTCGTCTGGCTAGAGTGCTTCGGGAATGCGTCGGTGATGACCTGTATACTTTTCTGTCACACCGGAATGCGGCCAGATTGGGCTGAAGAGTCTATCCTAATCGAATATAAAAATGACCTGAGAGATGAATGAAAGCGGTGATGGCGTGCATGCTTTTAATCCACACCGGCATAATGCCAGCTGGGCGTGGAAGTGCAGGTGAAACTTTCAGTGGGTATACTCCGAATGGAAGCAGGTCCCCAGGAAATGGTTCTAGGTATGGCTAAACTTCTTTAATTGAGACACGGGTCGCTTTTTTTCTACACAATCTGCTACAGCTACGTTGATGCATATGTTCCCTTCTGTGATTGAGATTATTCAACAGGATTGTAAAATCCTGATCAGGTCACAAAGGGCATGTCGCTCAAAACCGAAGCTATACATTATTATATGTTTGCGCATCGTGATCGGGAGAATCCGGCAGTTCAATGTGTCAGCTGTATGCCATAACGGCGCTTCGCTGCCACGCGACCATCACAAGTCGCACGGGGGCTGAGTATACCGCGAGGACGCCCACAGCTACGCGAATGCGAACCAAGGACCTCATGGTTGCAAACCAGGAGTGTAGACTACTCGGCTATCAGCCGGCCGTTCAGGAACACCATGAACAAATATGATTTTCTTACTGTATTGTGTAGGATTTCCGCGTGGGCTATCCTTTTCCTTTGCTCACCATTTCTAAGAAAGTTCGAGTAGCATGCGTGCTCTGCGCGATGAGTTGCGAAGACGAACTACAGAAAGTAGGACTGTTTGTCTCTTCCGATGAGTTCACACAAATATACGTCTCATCCGTTGGGTTGTCTTTTGACTCGCGTGGCTCAATCTAAGAAGCTGCTAAGTCGAATCCCTGAAGACAAACACTAGAACATTCCAGAACGTTCGAAATCGATGCCACAGTCCTCGCTAATGGATTAATCGCTAAAATAGTGGATTTGCTAACCAATTCTTACTTTCTTCCGGACACACAACAAGCGCTCGCGCAGTATGTTTGTGACTTTTGCTGTGTCAATTAGCAAATGTAAGAGATAAGGCAAACAGTATTACGATGCTATGACATGCATGTGAATAAAATGGTGAATTTCGAACATGTAGAAAAGAAAGGGGGCGTTTTGGAAAGCTTATTATGAAGTGGATGAAACTGATCAGTTAGTATCTTAGAAGCAAAAAACATTGCAAGCATCAAGATGTCTAGAAACGATCAGATCAACTAAAGAATCCCTAGACAAGCCGCTGCATTTAGAAAAGCGCTTTATAGATCGAACCAGTAAGATGTAGTCTTTCTGAAACAGTCCGGGGAAAATGACAAGAGAGCAGTATAGCCAATGGGAAATAATGCAAGAGGTCATAAATCTGAATGTTGATGTACGATATAATGAAAGCACTTTAAGTCTGAGGGCATACATAGAAAATCTTTGATTTTTTGAGTGGTTTTATAGAACGGCGTGGACCAAGAAAGGTTGTGGGACAAAATCCGCTGAGATATTTGACGGTGGGGAGAGCTGGGTATAGGATTTTCATTCACAATAAATGTGGGGGAGAAAGCTATGACGGACTGCAATTTATCGCCCCGGAGAAAAGAAATGATAACCCCACTGCATTTAGAAGCATTAAGCGTAAGAGATCTGGATGAAGGTCATTTCAACAGATCTTCCAACCCATGTTGAAGTGATGAAAAATCATGGTTTATGGGGGACATCCATCCCAGCACAACATCATCAGCATATTTACACCCTATAAACGTGATTTGTATAGGGAGATGTTCAACATACAAGGAAAATAGAAAAGATTATATCGCTCCCTGTAGAACACCACAGTCGGAACGGAGGGCAGATGATTTCTTACCGTTCAACTTGGTGAAGTGAGTACGGTCTGTAAACTAGTCGCATAACTGATTGCATACACCAGCGTGAATTCCATTTTCGGATAGCAGGTTTGGTAATCTTGACCTATCCAGGCTTCCAAAGGCAATTGAAATATTCAGGAAGAGAATCCGTATGGAGTTACATTTTGGATCTAATGTAACGGCTATAGAATGAACAACATACACCACTGCATCGAATGTGGAGCGTTGAGGTCTGTAGGCAAACCGGTAGAAATCGTCTTCAGGAGCAGCTGAACAAATCCGCGGAATTAACACTTTCGAAAACTTTAGAAGCACAGATGTACATGCAAGTGGGCGATACTTTTGAGATCCAGTTTTTGGTACCAGAGTGATACTGGCCGTTTTCCGAATGTCCGGAATCACACCCGTAGTAAAACATTTGTTCAAATGGTCTGTTAGAGGCATTGGGAGAGAATCAGCACACGCCTTCAAAGCTAATGGTGAGAGAGCATCCGGACCACAAGCTTTGTTTGCCTTTAATCTTTTGAGTTCCTTCTGAACCTTCCTTTGATCAAAGTGCGCGGTTGGAGTTGAGCTAATGAAGGAGGG